AGTCGGCTACTCTCCATAGAAGAGGGCTGACTGGTTCCAAACACACAGCCACCCCCCTTATACTTAACTAAAAATGATCAGGGCCTGGCCGACCCTGTGCCTAAACAGGCGGCTACCCTCAATTTACTTAGCACCTACGTTCACCAAGAACTAACCAAGGCCACAGGCCGAATGATCAGACCAGGCGCCAAGCCAACTGATCCAATCTTCAAAACTAATACGACTTATCCCAACATCATAGCAGGCGTCCGGCGGCATCCCTCCGGATGAAATTCGTCGCAGAGAGCAGCTCCCTTTTGGGTGGAACATTGCTCTATAAACTAATTACACGACACCTATACGACTGCCCCCAAGGGCAACCACGTAGCAGTTTTTGAGACAAGAATAACTCTATCACTAACCAAACCAGTGGTAGCCGTTGACATCTGAGTCAGATGACCGCCTGTATTACTTGGGATAAATGCAGGGGGTACCTCTTGAGTTAATAGCCAACAAACATTGGCGAATCAAAAGGTTCAGCCGGCCTCCGCCGCCTGGTACCTTTACTACTCAAGCAGGAGTGACGGCGACTGAGTAACTCCAAAGTTAACTCATAGTCACTCTCTCAAACTTAGTATGGAGCCTAAAAGGTATGAGTCGTCCGCCTGTTTTTAGCAAACAGGGGCTCTCAACCACTACTCCTGCTAGGTTAACAACCTATGAGTTAAAAGCCAACAAACATTGGCGAATGAAGGGGAACAACCGGTACCAACCGCTTGATACCTCTACTACTCAGTTACTTGGCGACTAGGTAACAACCATGTTTACTTGGTCAAACCACTTTCCTACTTGGTTAATTTTATAAATAACAGGACCGCCTGCCTAAAGGGGATCCAGTCTTTAAAATGGTTCGAATACGGATTGGATAAATGGTCGACTAATCGTCTAGCCTGGAAACATACAACCAGTCGTCCAGGGGCATAGGCGGCGTGACTAACTATCCGTACCTATCTTCAACTATCGGCCATGTAAAACAGTCGGTATAGTGTACAATTGGATATCAGAATATTCAATACTTAAACAAATTTGAAGCAAAACAAAAAATTCATTAAAAAGAAGCCGGTCATCAAAGACCGGAAAAATATTCAGAGCCCCGGCCCCCTGGCCGGGTAAATAAAAACAAACGGCACGCAGGCCGTGGAAAGAAGACATAAAGCTTAAGAAGGGGGCATATTTTCAATATTAGCAGCTGCCGCCTGGTCAGCACTCTTCTTGCTGGACTCGGCTTCAGCTGCATCCTTCTTTGATGCATTACCCCCAAGCGGCACAAGCGCCACTACCGGCTCCTCCTCCTCCAACGCCTCTTCCTCAGCAGCCGCCAGGATCTCTTGATTATATCTATCAGAACACTGGCGGTACGTTTTTTCCCATGAGGCGAAGTCGGCATTGGGGAAGAGGCGGCCCCAAGTCATGCGCTGGATTTGAGCAGAGTCTTCCATCATCTCCCGGACCAGCTCTTTCTTTTCTTGCTCGGCCTTTACCGAGAGCTCCTGAGTAAGACTCTTCTCCTGGGTCACCAGGCGTACCTTTACGCTCGCCAAGGATTTCTCCAAGGTTTCGTATGAGGACATCTTTTGGCGAAGAGGTCTCAGCTCGGCCTTGAGGTTGTTGATGGTCGCCTCCAGCTCGCTATTCCTCTTCTGGGCCGCCTCTAACTGAGCCCGGATAGCGGCGGTAGCCTGCGCCTGATAATAAAGAATATCAATGGTCAGAACTTCATTTTGGGCAATTTGAAACATTTCCTTATCACAGTCAGAGGCAGCCATAGCTTTTGTAGCCTTTACCTCTTTGTTCTTCCGGTCAAGCGGCTTGCGAAGGTCGTTCACTCGGAGCAGGGCCTAAGTAAAAAGGGGGAACAGGCGTCAGTTTCCAAACAAAAAGAAAACAGGCGTCCTGGAATTCAAATACTCAAAAATATGCTAAGTATACCTCAACAAGGACCCCTGCAATCCCTTGTAGGTCAAGGGTGCCGACACCCCTGACCGCCTCCCTTTAAGCTGGAGGAACGGCCTTGATCATAGACTTGGCCACCTCGACCAAGTCAGGCTCCTGAGGGCCGGCTGCATCAAGCATAAACAAACGGATTAGACCTAGTAAAGAAGGGAGCAAGTCTAAAATTTACAAGGATAATTTCATACTTCTAGGTGGCCCAGCTGAAGTTTTAGAAGAAGTGACCGGCTGTTTCTCAGCCGCCGCATGTTTCCTGGCAGAACCAGGAGAGCTCGCAACAGTCGTCCTCCGGGCCTTGGGGTCCGGCTGTTGGGAAGAAGAAGCTCTTGGAGCGCCCGTCTAAAAAAGAAGAAAAGAGTCAGTATATGCATAATCACAACTCCAAAAAGAGGGTGAAAGGTTCGAAGCCCACCAAGTGCCCCCTTGTTGGGGGAGTCGGTTGAAGACTGTTGCATAATGGAGGCCCGCAACATGGCCGCCGCAGTTTTGGAGGCGGTAATTTTGCTCATGGCGTCCGCTGCAAAAACAAATAGCAAGTTAATAAGTCATAACAAGAAATGCACGGAACAGCAGAGTATTCGACAGGCCGGCTACCTCTTGAGCACCGACTGCTGAGGCTACAGGCGGCCAAAAAGTACTCGTCGTAGAGCCATTTGAAGCTCGGGACGCAGTGCAGGGGTACTTGCTCTCGTACCCCTGAAGTGGAGTTCACCTTCGACTCTACTTTGAAGAGTCCTTTATCTAGGATCTCTTTCTTAGCCTTGGGGGGAACAGGCGGCATACTGCGGCCGCCTGCAAGAAGGGGCGGATTCCTGTTCCACCTGTTGAAGCGCTTGTTCAGCTCTGTGTCTGAACTCTCAATGATGAGGAAGGTGCTCCGCCAGTCCTTCCATTTGTTTGCTTTACCTCTCGTCATGAGGTAGCCCCTGTGGCTCGTCAATTGATATCAGCCGGTACCGCCTGCCTTAGGGGTCCGGCTGAGGTAGTTCATGTGGGCGAAAGCCTCGAAGCTCGGCTCCACCCCGTGTAGTTCGCACCCGGCCACATAGCCGAGTACGTTGACCCAGGAGTTCGGGGCTAACTGCCATAACCCCAACTCATACCCATCCAAGATCCGCTGAACAGCCGGATGTAGTGGGAAGCGCAGCCCAGCCTTGATGGCCGCCTCGTAGCAACCAAAGCAGGCGCTATCATAACTGGTACCAACCGGCCAGACGACTGTGTCTTCTGGATCCGGCACGAACACTAAAAAGCCGGGGCCCATTGTGTGGTTTGCGATAAAGCTCTCCACTTTCTCTTGCATGGCTGTGATCCGGCCCCAAGGTACCGTGCAGTAGTAGGGGGTATTTTGCTCTCGGTGAGAGGCGGATGGCTCCGCCCAATCGTCCCCCTTCTCAACTGCGTGAGAAAGCCTCGCCTCTTGCAGGCGACTGTTTTTCTCTTCTGTGTCCAGAGAAGCATGGCCAGAAGAGCTAGACTCGGAATCATCCTCTGACGAGTCCGAAGAGGACGACTCCTCTCCTCTCCCGGAGGGGCCCGCCTCCTCTCCTTTAAAAGGAGCAGGAGAGAATGAAGAATTGTCAACTGTAAAATGGGAAGGGGTCACTTTGACTCCTCCCTCAGAACTGCCGGCTTTCAAGCCGCTTTGTTTCACTTCCACATCTGGCGCCTGGTCAGATGTTTCACTAATCGGCACCCTGTGGGAGGAGCCGTCTGAGTTTGAGATCCTGGCAGTCTTTTTTGTTCTGGCCATCATGCTCTGCATAGACACAGATACAGTCGGACTTTGTATAAAGGGCAAATATGGGTCCAGAAAAGGACAGGCGGCACTCCTAGTCCTAGATTTAGCCGTCCCCGGTGACCGGCTGATTACTAACCTAGGTCGTGTCGTGTGCTTCCGTGGTGCCATTTAAAAAAAGAATAAAATAAAGAGAAAATTAAGAGTAAGAGAACCGACGGTTACCTGAACGAGTGACGTTGATGGAGTTCTGAAAATCCTGTGCAGTCGGCTTGTCAGAGCCGGCGGTAGGCAGAAAGGGTCCAAAATGTCAGAGCAAGTTCAGGGGTGCGAATGTTCTCTCAAAAAGTTCTCGTGTGAAAATGACTGAAGTCAACACTCCCTTATATAGGCGAAGTGAGAAGGTGAAGGGTCACTTTCTGAATTCATAATTTGGGCGGGAGAATCTCTCGGCCTTTCGCCGAGTGACACCTGTAGCAGGTCGTCGCCTGTTACAGTGCGACACCTATCACAGGTAACATGTGACCAGTCACGTGCCACCTGTGAAGGGCAAATGATTAGGGGATTTTGCTCCCACCAATCGGAATGCGCCACGTGGGCAAATCAGGTCCTGCCAAGTGTCCCCCAGTTGGAACTGTCAGGGCTTGCCACGTGGCACACGCTTATTCGTCCACCTTGGACCTATTATGTCATGACACGTGGCATACTCCATGCCTAATGGAGAAACCGGCCACCCAGGCCCAACTTCCGAGGGAAGCCCAATCAGCCCTAGGTTAACCTAAACCTAGGATAGGCACGTTTTCCAAGGTTATAAATACCTCCCTTAATCCTCATTAAGAGGGATTACGCAAAAGATTAAGCAATTGATGACTCTCACCTAGAGAAGTCTAAACACATTGATCACTCCTCCCCTAGAGGAACCAGATCTCCCACCTTTAATTTCCGCATTAATTACTCCTCACACAAGTACTAACTTGATCGTTGGAGACGGAGCTCCCACCACAAGGAGTCTCCGTTATTTTGCAGGTACAGGCGTCCAGTTCCAGTCTCGGAATTGTAACTCTCCCGCAGGACATCAGAAAACCCCAAAACAGTCACCATAAAGAACAAGTACCCATTACCAAGGATTGATGACCTATTTGGCCAATTGAAGGGTGCATCTGTGTTTTCCAAGATTGATCTAAGGTCTGGATACCATCAGTTAAGGATCGCAAACGAAGATATTCCCAAGACTGTATTTAGAACAAGGTATGGACATTATGAGTTCACAGTAATGCCATTTGGATTGACGAATGCTCCAGAAATCTTTATGGACTTGATGAATAGGGTGTTTCATCCACTTATGGACAATTTTGTCGTAATGTTCATAGATGATATACTGGTGTATTCGAAGAATAAGGAGGAACATGTGGAACATTTGAGAGCAGTTTTACAGACTTTAAGGGAGAACAAGCTTTATACGAAGTTTTCTAAGTGTGAGTTTTGGTTGGAAAAAGTAGCATTTTTGGGTCACTCTGTGTCCAAGGATGGGGTAGAAGTAGATCAAGCGAAGATTGAAGCAGTGAAAAGATGGCCTACGCCAAAGACGGTGTCTGACATTAGGAGTTTATTAGGTTTAGCAGGGTATTATAGGCGTTTTGTGAAGGACTTTTCTAAAATTGCTAAACCTATGACCTCTCTAATGAAGAAGGACAAGAAGTTTGAGTGGGACGAGAAGTGTGAGGAAGCGTTTCAACTTTTGAAGAAAAGGTTGATTACAGCACCAGTGCTAACATTGCCCGATGATAGTGGGATCTACGATGTATATAGTGATGCATCCAAGAATGGTTTGGGATGTGTGCTATGCAAAATGGAAAGGTGATTGCATATGCATCAAGACAATTAAAACCTCATGAAGTAAACTACCTAACTCATGATTTAGAATTAGCTGCAATCATTTTTGTACTAAAGATTTGGAGGCATTACTTGTATGGGGTGAAATGTAGAATTTATACTGACCATAAAAATTTGAAGTACATTTTCACTCCAAGAGATCTAAACTCGTGCCAAAGGATATGGTTAGAATTTGCAACGGACTACGACTTGGACATATAATACCACGAAGGGAAAGCAAATGCAATTGCAGAAGCTCTAAGTCGTAAAACTAGTCATGGATTGAACACTTTGATAGTGGCTGATGAATTGTGTAGGGAAATGAGAAAAATGAACCTAGAAGTGGTAGAATGGGGAATACCAGCAGGTATACTTGCAAATCTAAGCATTTAACCAACAATATTTGATGAAATAAGGGAAAATCAGGCAGGAGATGTAAAGTTGGATAGGATTCGTGAGAAAATAAAGCAAGGAAAGGCAACAGATTTCAAAATTTATAAAGATGGGAGTCTAAGGTACAAAGGTTGATGGTGTGTACCACAAAAATGTGAGGAAGTAAAGAGAAAATTGATGGATGAAGGACAATGGATAAAGGACATAATACACCATACTCAGTACACCCTGGAGGGGATAAACTATAAAAAGACTTTAAAAAGATGTATTGGTGGCCTAAAATGAAGAATAAAGTTGCGGAATTTGTAGCTAAGTGTCTAACTTGTCAAAAGGTGAAAATAGAGCACAAGAGGTCGCAAGGAACCGTGCAATCATTGGAAATCCTTGGATGGAAATGGGATTGCATTTTGATGGATTTTGTGACTTGCCTTCTAAAGTCAAAGAGTGGAAATAATACCATTTGGGTCATGGTGGATAGACTTACCAAATCTGCAGTGTTCATACCAATGAAGGAGACTTGGAAGATGGAGCAACTTGCAAAAGCTTACATCAAGAATGTTGTGAGGTTACATGGAGTTCCAAAAGATATTGTGTTTGATGGATATTCTAGGTTTCTTTCAAAGTTATGGAAGAGTGTGCAGGAAAACTTTGGTACAACACTAAAGATGAGTACAACATTTCACCCTGCCACAGATGGACAAACTGAGAGAACTATTCAAACCTTGGAAGATATGTTGAGATCTTGTGTCATAGACTTCCAAGGGGGATGGGAAGATAGCTTGAACTTAATTGAATTTTCTTACAACAATAGTTATCATGCGAGCATTGGTATAGCTCCATTTGAGGCATTATATGGAAGGAAGTGGCGCAGTCCTGTATGTTGGAACAACATAAGTGAAATAATGATCTTAGGGCCTCAAATGATTGAAGATACAGTTAAGCAGGTAAAAGTGATTCAGGCTAAGATTCAAGCAGCACAAGATCGTCATAAGAGTTATGCAGATCTGAAGCGTAGGGAAGAAGAGTTTGAAGTTGGTGACAAAGTGTTGTTGAAAGTATCACCAATGAAGGGTGTTATGAGATTTGGGAAGAAAGGAAAACTTAGCCCAAAGTATATTGGTTCATATGATATATTACAGAGGATAGGCAAAGTAGCTTATGGGTTGGCCCTACCTATGGAGCTAAGTAAGGTGCATGATGTATTTCATGTGTCTCGGTTAAGAAGGTACATATCTGATAAGTCACATGTGCTACAACTTGAAACAATTGAGTTAGATCAAAGCTTAACTTATGAGGAAAGACCTGTCAAGATCCTTGACAGTAAAGTGTGTAGTACACGCAACAAGGAAGTAAAGATTATTAAGGTGCTATGGTCTAACCAAGAATATGAGGAAGCAACTTGGGAAGCTGAGGATGAGATGAAAAAGAAACACCCTGAGTTGTTTGAGGTATGTTGAGTTACGGGGACGTAACTTGTTTTCTTTAGGGGGGTAGAATGTGGTAGATTTTCGTGCTTTTCCCTCTAATTTCAGTTATTTTAGTGCTTTTTGCACACTTTTAACGGTTATTTCGAGTACTTTTGATTTCAAGGGGACATTAAAGGTAAAAGTATGTCAAAAGAGTACAGTAATATTACACAAAGTGAGGAAAAGGTTGATTTTTCGTTACCCAAGTTTCAGGACGATACTTTTTTTAAGGGGGGTAGACTGTAATACCCCGTATTTTTATACGTATATTAATTTAAAACATTATTTTATGAAGTATTTAAATAATTCAAAATGAATTATTTATGGTATTTTTATAATTTAAAAAGGTTTATTTTTATTAAAAGTCCATTTTTATTTTAAATTGTTTTGGAAATATTTTATTTTTATATTTGTAAACTTTGAGGCATAATTATTTTATAAAAAGGAAGTTTTAAACTCAATGGAATTTTAAAGAAAGTTAATGACTAGTTTGAATAAGAGAATGAATCATTAAGGGTAGAAAGGGAATTTAAGTTAGGAGGGTCTTGAGACAGGGTATAAATACCCATCATATGAGCAAATTAGACTTTGCCCAAGGTGGAGAATACCCAAACGTAAACTCTCTTTCTATCTCCTCTTATTTTCTCTCTCTCCTTAATTTTCCCCTCTCCCTCACAACACGCGCACGCACACACCAAGGTGGTTGGCCGCCACCACCACTTCCCACCGATCGGCCACCGCCGCCAGCAGCAATCGGCAGTAGCAGCCGCCGGCATGGAGGGCGGCAACAGCCCCCTCCCGTGCGTGAAATTATGTGTTTTAAAAATCTCTCTCTCTCTCTTTCTCTCTCTCTCTCTCTCTCTCTCTCTCTCTCGTTTTAAATTAATCCAACCTCGATTAATTATTAATTTGGGTGTGTGTGATGATTTTTATGATATTTTGATAATGATTAATATGTATAAAATTTTCAGATTTGGTTTTTGAATTAAAAAGCCCCAAATTGAAAACCCTAGGTTTCTAAATTAATGTTTATTGATGGAAATTGATTGTAGTTGATTAATACTATTGAAATTAATATTTTTAAACAAAATTACAACAAGTTTATGAATTTTTATAATGCTTGAATTTTTATATAAAGGCTAGAATTATGTTTCTTGAAAGGATTTTTAATTACCCTTTAATTGGGAATAAAAGTAGGTGGTTTAAATTAATTTTCCGCATGTTTTAGAAGGTTTAAAAGTGATTTAAAGAGTGTATATATTGCTAGAAATTTATTGTGAATAGGTATTATTGTCTCTTTGTAATTTTGGGTTGTAGGAGACTTCCAAGTGAGTGATTTTGTGTAGTCGTGGCAATTTTGAGATCATATTCGAGGTACGTTTGCTTACTTGGTAATTATTTAAGTGTGTAGAAACATGCCAGGCTTTGTTTGATTAATTCCAAGGTAGTATCATGATAGGTATTGGTTGGAATTGTTGATTGGATTGATGTTGGTGATTAATTATGAAGTATGGATTATTTGTGGTGAATTGATAATTGGAATTAATTATGTTGGCATGTTGATTATGAACTACACTTTTATTATTGACATGATTGAGAGCATGTTTAATTAAACTAAATGTTTAATTTGGTTTGGAATATATAAAGGGAATTTTATGATGGTTCATATAATTTTTATTGATGCTTTAAGCATGGGAATTGGGCTATTAAGTGTCGTAATACACAGGAATAAAATATATTGCGGTGTCTAGTGAACTTAAGGTGTTCTAAACATCATGGGATAGGATTTGCGGTGCTTTTTGCACTTAAGGTGTTATTTAACGCCGAGATAGTCTAAAAAGGGTTCAACATTAAATTAAATGTGGTCACTAATTATTCAAGAATTAAATTGGTATGTTTGATTGCTTGAATGATTATTATGATTGATTGTGTTATGGTTTGAGAGTCATCACCAAGTCTAAAAATATGTAATCAACGTAAATAAAAGAGATTACACACCAAAACTCTTGGAACGTATACACCTTGAGTATGAACATATGGGGGGAGTTATGGGGTTTTATATTTAACCATAGCTTCTATTAGGAGTAACGGACGCTGTATTTTCCTTTTTATTTTATGCACAGAACGTCCAGTCACTTTCATGTGGCATTTGCCTACCTGATTAGCTCCCAGTGTAGTTTACCTCAATTTATTTGGGACAGGGATTTGGTGGGAAACCCGTTCGATGCGTAATCAAATTAAATAAGCAATTCATTTAATTATTGGTTGGTTGTATGGTATGTTGTATGCTTGTAACAAGTGCAACAAGGTAAGTTGTGTATTGATAGGATGAAAGCATGTTAGTGTGTACTGTTTACGCTTATGTACTCAGCATTGCTATTGTGTGTTGTATCTTTGTTTGGCCTTGTCTTTATCTTGGCCCTACGACGACCCATTTCTAATGGCGAGTAGTGGGGACAAAGTAAAGAGAAGCTTTTCAGGTGATGAAGCATATTCATGATAAGCATGAGTGAAGAGCGAATCCTATTTAGTTTCCATAAGAATATGATGTGTTTTATTTGCTTTGATTATTATATATTTGTTTGTGGGACTAACACAAAGGTTTTAATGTTTTTTTTGGGTTTGATAAGGGCCTACAATGGTTCCAAGTTGTAGGTTGACTTTGTTTGACTTTGGTTTGACTTTACTTTCGTTTGGTTTGACTTTTTCAGTTGATTGGTTTTGAATGGTTTTTAAAGTGAGTCTTCCGCTGTGTGTTTTTGATAATTGGCTTAACCGTTTTCACGGTGGTTGTAATGTCTTAGATTTAGTATATTTTGTATTTTAAAAAGAACAAAACAGGTATTTTAAAGGAAAGCAATTTCTAGGGTGTTACAATAGTGGTGGTGGTTGTGGTGGTGGAAAGAAGGTGGTTTTGTTAGGTTGAAGAGAGAGAGAGGTTATTAGTTAGTAAATTCATTTAAAGAAACTAAGGATTAACCTTAAAACATGCACTAGCTATAGGTTAGCTCTAAAACACCTATAAGGACACTCTATATAGTTAAGCAAAAGCTGAGGGTCACTTGAGAATATGTATGGCAAAAAAAGTCTTCTAGACAGAATTTGCAGAGATAGAAGACCACTATGTAGA